CGGGGAAAGCTCCCTGCCAGGTCAGGGCACCCAGGCTGGGCAGCCGGCACATGGCGGGTTTGTTTTTCTTAGGCACAAAGATTACCACCTTTTGCTCTGGGAAGCCCCCACGTTCGACAGCGAAAACCGAGTGGGAGAAAAATCTTTCGCCTGATGTTGAGAAGAGATTTTTGCAGATTTCCCTGTAAGGATTTGACCCAGACCAGTTAAGGCGTGGACTTAGTCAGCATGTTTAGTCACCAAGCAAACATTTCTCTCTGTCCTCTTGGAGTACAGTTTCCAGATGGCAGCCCAAATCGATCTCCTTACAAACACAGGACAAGCCTTCTAAAGTAACGCTTCATATTTTGCAAATCAAATCTGCATTATCCGTAATAAGGACATACGTTTTTTCTCCAGAGAACAAGTTCTCAGTCCCATGGACTCGGTAAAGCTAGGAGTGGACCATTTATCAATCATTTTAACATAAATGTCTGTCTGTGTGGCATTTAGAGAGATGAAGTGCAGAACGTCTCTATGGAAACAGTTTAGCTGTAGTGCATAGAAGAGGAACAACATCCCATACGATAATCACCAATGTAGCCTGGAGAAGAAGTGCTTTTTATTCTAAAGGCAATGCGAGTCTATGCGTTACATTATTTTATTCAGAAAAAAAGAAAACGTTAAGAAAAATGTTAATCTTTTACATTGAACTGCCTGCACATAGAAAGCAAGAGCACACACAATAAGGAGCCTAGCCTGAAATGACAGCCTTTCAAGTGTCCAGGGATAAAGAGGGGTGTTGAGTTTTGGCTTCAGAAGAATCTTGATATTGAACAAAATGTTTTCCAAAAATCCTGCCCCTGGTTTCATTTGGAAGAATGGATCTTAAAGGAGTCATCAGCAATCACTTCTATTACTGTCTATCCCACTTGAACTGATACTCACCTATTCCTCACTGTTTCCTCTATTTTTCACTGTTTCTTCAAACCATGCTGGTTTTGGAGCATTGTTTTTCTCATTAACACAACAGTTGACACTAATGGTACAAATGAAACACCTCAAATATGGACAGATTCTGATTCATTCATTTGTGCTGTTTGGTTTTATTGATATCATATGTTGTTGGAGATGAAAAGTATATGGGAAAGGAAGTCCATGAATGCACAGTGTTTAATAAAATGGAAAAAGGCAACATTCATATTTCAAATTTCAGAGCCTTTAGTGCCCTGCTGTAGCTTTGGGTTAGTAATGATTCCAGAAAGAAGAATACTGCTCCCCTGAACAGCAAACATTTTCTTTGTCTTTCCTGAAACCCGAAGAAACGTTTGTTTTCCAAACAAGTCCATAACCATTCCAGCCTTGATTATTTTGTGAAATCTAGTAGGGTGCTGGAGCTGTACACCACAAGAGCTGAGAAAAAGAATGTCGCTTGATATATTGTCTTTTAAAGATCCAAAATTAGAGGCAAATACCTGCTGAATTAACAAGATATTGAATCCTATTTAGTTGAATTCCTACCACCATCCATTCCAAAGAATGTAATGGTGCAAGAATGAGTTCTCCTCTCTGAACATGAAAAATAAAGGAAATATTATTGCTATCATCACATTTAGAAAGCCTCAGAAAAACCCTCAGCAGTCAACACTGTACCTCAGTGGGTACACCACATTTTAATTTCTAGACTACATAGGAAATGAGGAGTGAAGAACAATTCTCCATATCCTTTTAAAATTTCCTCCCTATAATCTTTAAAGAATTGCAGTAGGAAGATTATGTAGGTTCCAAAATTTTAATTTAAGAGAAATGTCATAGCAAAGGAAAGCTGTTAGTAACTGGAATGGACTGCGTTTGGCACTGCTTGATTGTAATGGACAGGTCATGGTGCTGTCTACATGCAAGAACTGGGCATTTGAAAACAACTGTTGCAGTGTGATACGTTTCCAACTCAAGCAACTCTGTTACATTAGCAATATAAGGTAAAATCCCCCAAAATAATTCAAAGACACTTGGAAGAAATATAGTGGAGTAAATGCTTCATAATGAGTTATTTGCTGTCAAAATCAGCGGTAAGTCAAAACAGAATCCAGGAGGTGTAATTTTTTTTTTTTTTTTTTTTTACGTTATTTATCCTTAAAGGGGGGAGCCTATCTTAGATATTTCAAAAAATTTCATCATGTGTATGTGTAAATATGCACTATGGGTGAAATTCTGCTCTCAGGCTGCAGTACCCGATTACCCTTACTTACCCTGGTTTTAGCCATATATCTTTGCTGATACTTTGCACTCATTTTGCGCTGGTATTAAATAGGATATGGGCCATTCTCACTGTGAGCCATGTACAGTGTCTGTTGGCCAAATGGGCTGCAAAGCTGGTATCTCTCACTAATGACCCTTCATCTTTCAGAGGGACCCTCAACCATCTAAGGCTGATCTAATAATACCCATCTCTGGCAACTTCTTTAAAGCATAAAAAAATGTTAAGCAGCAGTAGCACATCTTTACAGATTTTATTGATACACTTGTCTGGAGCTTTTTGACTTATTCTTTGTTTGGGATATGTCCCTTCAGTCAAATTTGAACTTAAAAAAAAAAAGAGAGAACTTAAGTGGCCAGAGAGATTTCTTACAATCCTTATTTCTCCGAGAACTCAGATTTGGAAAAAGCAGGTGATATGAAGGCTTTTTTCCTGTAACAGGCATGGATGCTGGCCAGTGACAAAATTCACTCAAAAAGTTTTATAGATTCAGATTGGATCCATCTGAAATATAAACCAATTCCTTAACTGCCTACTCCCCTTGGTATTAATTATGGAGAAAAGAATATCTCCATTAGCTTGAACTACAGCGAACATACACATTTTATTATTTTTTGCCTAGACTAGGCAAGGAGTCAGAAGTCAGAGCTTTGCCAGTGTCTCACTGCTTAACTCTGCACAAGCCCTTAACTTCTCTCTGCCTCAACTTTTCCATCTGTATAGTGACTATGCCATGCCTTGTTTTGGAAAGCACAAACAGGAAACACTCCTGAGCTGTTTGATAGCATGTTAATAGATTTTTAAAAGCCACTATCTGTTTTTCATTCCTCATCAGAACATATGATTCCCAAAAGTTCTAAAATTTAGGGGGCAGTATTTTAAATTTAAAAAAACCCCAAACATGGAAAATGGGAATTTCTTCAGTACATTTGCATGCAGTGCACTAGAGGGCCCTCAGGAGTTAGAAATGGATGGAATGCACTTTTGGAAGGCACATACTTCACAGGACTTTTCATTACAGAATTTAAAATAGAAGTTGCTGGTTTTGGGGTTTTTTTGTGGTGTTTTTTTTTTTTTTTAATAACATGAGGTTCATGTAAGTTTATAGCAGTTCATATGCAAACCACCTCTCAGTACAGTTAGCTTCCGAACAGTATTTAGCTTGCAGTGAAATACCTAAATGTGAGCCATACTTAAAACTGAAATATGTGCTAGAATACTTTGAGAACGTCAGCTTTTACTAAGTTACTTTTATTACTCTAAGGAGTTTACCAGAACAAAGGATGTGTCAAGCTGAATAGGTAAGTGATTTTATATTTTTATAGCAATATATATACAACATGCACTTATTCTATCTTTGTTTCTTTGAAAGGGTATATAAGCCACTCATTTTATTTGAAAAACTATAGCTAGATCCTATTTATGGCTTCACAAGAGTAAAGAGAATTAACCCTCTTTCACCTTTAACATGTGTTTATGAATGTGAACTGTATTCATATTCAACTAGGGAAATTTGGCACTGCTGATATATTTGTCTACTAGTGAATATGTGCATATTTAACTGCTACAGTTACTGATGCTTAATATGGTATAATTTACAGCACTTCCATAACATGAGGTTCAGTAAGACTTTGTCTCGTAAGAAAAAGATAATGATCTGGATTTGACAAGCTTTTCTTCTAATGCTGGAATACAGCTAGCTGAGATTGCAACTTGAGCCTGTATTTCATGATTTTGGTGTTTAATTTATACTGTAATGAGAATGTGAAAGATGTAACCTGACAAATTTCTAGATGCATACTGTCTCATCTAGAACTTCTGTCTCTTAAAAATATAGAGCCACAGATGCTGTATGAGAGTAATGAAATGAAATGCTACTACTCTTCTTTTTGCAGTTTGCGAAGGAGATACTTCAGGTATTTTAGACTACAAATCAGTAAACTTTGCTTACGTAGCTGGCTCCATTCATTCTCTGAAGCCAATCACTTCCCCTGTGGTGGCTGATAAGAATTTAACAGCTTGAGAAGGTGGGGTGTCAGCATCCTTAGTGCTAAACACATTCCCAGGCATATCAGTAGCCTCTGTCCATCACCCATGCTGGAAGCTATTTGGAAAAGGAGAAATAGAAATTGCGGAAGGGAAATCATGCATCATCATCATCCTGGCTGGAACATACGGAAGACTTTATGCTGTTTTTATCATGTAGATTCACTAGAGAAATGACCACCTTTGATCAGCCAAGTAAAATCAAAAACTTGTTTATTTGCTGCCTATGCCCCCCACGGGTGCTGAGGCTCTGGACTTGCAGGCGCCCAAGGACAAGGAGGAACCTGCTAGCGGGCACTGCGTGTGTGATCTACCTGGGATTCCTCGTCAGTCAAGTGGGTCATGTTTTACCCCAGCACAAAGGAGGACACCAAAAGGTCAGTTCCAGAAGTCTCCAAGATGCAGCCCAAACTCCTTTTCTGGGCATCCCACTGGATGGCACCCTGTCACCACCCAATTTCCAGGAACCCCAGCTTGGTAGCAATGGGACCTTGCTGCCACCCAATGTAGTTTATATCACCCTGCGGTCCAAGCGCAGCAAGCCTGCCAATATCAGAGGCACGGTGAAGCCAAAGCGCAGGAAGAAACATGCCACCGCTTTGTCCTACGGGCAGCACTTTCCAAAAGCTGCTTTTATAGGCCGGGAGGAGGCCTTTGCCCAACAGGCGGAGAGGGCCGCGCGTGCTACGGGCGCGATGGGAGCAGCAATAGCTCTGGAGGCAAGAAAGCACCAACTGGATGAACACAGACATAAAGGAATGGCAATCAGGGAGAGGGCTCACCGGAGACCTGGGAGGATTTCTGGAGCTATAAAGGCACAGCCCCAGCCTGAGGAAAGCAATATCAGGATTTACAGCGAGAGCTCTCCCTCTTGGCTGAGTAAAGAAGACATCCTCAACATGCGCATGCTGGCAGATTCTCGGATAGAGAACATCCAAGAACTACCTTCTCACAAAGCAGTCCTGGTAGTATTTGCGAGGGGTCCCAGCAGCACAGGAACTGCTTGTAACCAGGGGCACTGTGGCATCATCAAAAGACCCCTCGACATGAGCGAGGTATTTGCCTTTCATTTGGATAGGATCTTGGGGCTGAACAGGAGCTTACCTTCTGTAAGCAGGAGATCGGAGTTCTTCCAAGGTAACACATTCCTATGGCTTTCAGCTTGCAGGTGGGGCTCTGAGGTTTCCTTCCTCCCTCCCATATTAACCATAGGGTGGCAGCCACCTTTAACTCCTGCAAGCCTAAGAACTAACCCCATCATCACGGCAGAAGTAAAGCTAGTATCTGTGTGTAATTTCTGCAGCGCAATTATCCTGTCCAAAGGACGCAGTACCCCAAAGTTTAGATCAAATACCATTGAGCTGCTGAGGGCAGTAACAATTTCTCTTCCACAAGAGCCTGGGATGAGGAAAAAAAAAAAAGAGGGAGTCATCCATAGATTGCATGACATTGTACAGACTGCCTGAAGTGAAACTGGTGAAAGAAATCCCAGAATACCCTGTGATTCGATGGGTATTTCTGATTTTTTAAAGTTTTCTCATCTTTTAGATTTGGCTTTAATAAAATGTTGTTGAAAGCGAGCACAAAAATTCACCTCTCAAACAGATGGTAGGAAAGGGGGGTTGTATTTAGTCAGATAACCTACTCAGAGATAGGGGAACTGGGAAACTCCTGCAGAAGTTTGGTGCTACTTTCACGGTACTAATACCTCTGGGAACTGAAAAAATTTAAAGAGTGCTTCCCTCTCCCCAGTAATTAAAAAAAAAAAAACTACATTTCAGTGAATCCTGCTGTACATTTTGAGGTTCATTACACACATCTATATATTATGCTGACAAATAAATATACACAGTAAATATCTCAATATGCCTGTTACATGATTGGTATAAAGTTTTCAGTTAAAAATTTGATTTTTATGCTTTAGTGAAATTAAAGATAGATTTCAGACATGTAATGTGCGTTAGAAGTAAGTCTACTTCTAACATTGCTATCTTGTGAAATGTCTAACTGCTATTTTCGTACAGTCACAAATCACAATCCAAAAGGACTACATTGCATTTTAATGAATCATTGCTAAAGTGGCTAGCTATGTTTTTGCTGTTCCTTTCTCACTGCTGAAATTAGCTTATACAAAATATTTTTATATCAGTTTGTGTTTCTTAAAAAAAAAAAGTAATGCAAGAATGACTTTAGTCTGAAGTCTGACAGCAGGCAGAGGAGCCAGTGATCTCTTTGTAAACCTTCCTTTTGGTAGCCTGTACAACAATGTGAATGAATCTCTAGGAACAACAGTTTGGAGGCTTCTGAATGTTATTCATACTTGCAGAGCATGGAAGATACATTATGCCTAGTTTATTTTTAGGAATAAGATTTATTGCTGTAGAGCTGCCATAAGGCATTAAGGTAGTTCGGTTGGAGGAGCTCTGCACAGTGTGGCTGCAGAGATGACAGACTGCAAGCCTCTGAAAACTGCTATTAGGCTAATTGTGCATTGTGTTGCTCAGCGTCTGTCACCTTACAGTATGTTTTAGACTGTCTGGGACAGAGTGTGTCATTCTGCCCTCTTTAATTTTCTTTTCCTCATAGCTGGCTATGTTCCTATAGCAAGAAGAGTGTTGCTAGGTGATGAGAAGAGAAATAACATTATTTTGGTCCCACTTCATTTTTTCCAGCTAAAGGGTGAACAGAGCATTTGGAACAGTTACTGTACCTTGTCTCTCTCCATTTCCTTAGCCTGGAAATATGCTGGAGCTCAGATGCCTAATATCTGCTTGAGCTCATTACTATTTACATGCTTTGTTTGGCATAATCTGGAAAACATCTGTATTGAGAAAATGAGCAAAAATATATTCTTCAAAAAAATATGAACAATTAGTGAGCTCATTTCTATAACCCATATGCATTTAAGTTAAGATTGGGTAGGCACTGTAAAGTTTTTTACAGGGCAGCTTGCGTGAATCATGGTTATTCGTATGGGAAAGAAAGCAATGCAGGATTAGAGACTGTGCGTGTATGTATAAATGTACACAATTTCTGGGCTGACATATCTCTCTCTACAACACATCCCTTTAGCTTGCCTCAGTTGTGATCTGATGTAACAAGACATGTTTGATGTAGCATTAAAATCTTAAAAAATGGGCTTTTCAAAACCGTCATTCATGTTGTCAAAAGCAGTTTCAAAGAACTGCTTAGTAAATCCCTGTACAGTTTCTGTTTCCCCTATTCCCACAAATCCCCCATGGATTTTTTTTTTTAAAGTCTAGAAAAATACTGTATGCAAGTCCTCTGTCTGCTGCCCTTACCTTCCCTAGTTATTTGTAAAGCCTTTTAAGTGTTAACAGTGAATCTTTTTTATTGTTTATCTTATTTTTCCATCATGGATGGAAAAATCGGGTATGATAACTCTTCCCCTCATATTTTTGCAATGAATTGGCTGAATGTAAAAAGCCTGGGGGGTACAGGTGGGCAAAGCCCTTTTGAGTTCAGTGTTACAGACTAAAAGAGTATGATTCTGGGCACATGCAAGCACTCGTTCATTACTCCCATTGCCACCTACATGGCGTGAGTCTATTGTGGAGAACATGGAAGCTGACCCTTGTGTGTCTGAGTTTTGGGATGGTCACATTAATACCACATGACTGAGAATCTTCATTATTTAATCATCCTGAGGAACACGAGAGACATAAGTGACCTTGCTTGGTGTCACAGCCCTACCTTCATTAATTTGCACAGAAGCCAAGTAAAGTGACTGCACCTATAGCCTCTAGCTCAGCAACAGCATTTGCAGGGTAGGACGATGCCGGTGTTTGCTAGGGCTTGAGCTACCATTGGAGCAACATGGGCTGGAGCAGGCTTGCTCCTGTGTTGCAGCTGGCAGCTGTAGGAATAGGACTCTGACTCCTTGGATCATAGCAACAAGGCTGAGCTCTTTGCTCAGCTTTTGGTACAAAAATGGCAGCTATTGCTATGCAGTTTTGTTGCGCCACTGGCTGAGGGCCTGAGCTACTGCATGCTGCCAACCACCCCTCTTGCCCCCTGGTTTTCTGGTATCATAAGTTTGGCTAAATGTTTTATCCTGTGCTGAGAAGAATAAGCACAGGTGTACTCAATTCAGTTGGGATTTTCTTAGCTAAAGATTGAGCCTAATATTTGCCCAGAACCACTTTTCCTAAAAACATGCAAGAAACTCTTCCTTTGAATAACACCTTTCATGGTTGGTTTAGTGCAAATAGATGAGTGACATGTGATAGATAGCTCCACTAGTTGTACTTGTCATTTTGCTCTACTGGCCTCTACATGATGATAAATGGAGCCGTAGGTTTTTCTGTGTTATACCCTGCACTATCAGCCTGTCCCTGCCATCCCACCAAAAGTTATGCAAAAGCAGGAAAAGATATTATGAATCACTAACGTCAGGGCAAAGAATAAGAAAAACCTAATGCTGCCTTATGCATTCAGAATGCTCTAAAAGGCTTCAATTTATCTGTCCTGTTTTCTGTCTATCAACCCAAACAACTTGCACCATAGTATTGTACCTCTCAGAAGGGTACCAGAGGTCATATTTCTAATATTTTGTTGAGTAGAGAAGTTCATGTATAAGCAATAATGCAGCCCATAGTCTAGAGAGAAACTGATGCACATTTCATGCATTCCTTAATTCTGACATTCATATGAGAGCAGGACAGAAACATTGCAAATAAGGTGCAGAGGGAAGAAACAAAAATGGCCTAACTTCTGTCTGCTTTCTGCTTCTGTCCCTTATATTTTCCCTCAGAACTTAATCTTAAACTCTCAAATTCAAGTAATGCTCTGTATGACAGTCCTTCTCATCTTTCCACACTAAATTACCCTCTCCTGCTAATACATGGGCAACTAAACTGTTTCTTTCAAATGTGGCAGTGTTAAGCTCTACTGCTTTACAGTGAACAATGAGGAGTTTGAGAAAAGGTTTTTAAGTACCTCGTGAAAAATTTGCTCTTTTTAGTGATGCTCCCATGGGCATGTTTGAAAATATTTTCTTTCAAGGAAGTTAGAAAAATTGCTGTAGATACAAGTTAGAGCACAAGATGGAAGAGTAACATTTGCAAGAGGATTCACCTGTTAGCTTATTCAGCTTAGGATATCCTGAGCCAGTAGCTCCTAAGGGCCCAAGAAATTTTTAGAAATTTTGTTTAAAAATCTATATGAATTACTAAGAAGCTGGTTCTGACATGAGTTTTAAAAAAATCTTTCCCATACAATTTTGCAGATCATCTTTAGATAGTCAAGTAGATATATCAATCTAAAATGGCAGAGGAAAAGAAAATTAAGACAGTCAGCTTTAGGCAAGGTTCAGTGCAATGCAGCTGCAGCAACAGAAAAGCCGTAACCCTTTGTGTTAATATATAAAGCTGATTAGGAAAGAAGTGCATGCAGAACACACTGGACGTGTTCTGAAGTGTGCTCAATGTCCTCAGTTTTGGCTGTATCAAACTGGAAGCTCTGATTCTTAGCCAGGCCTTACTTTTCACTGTTCAGTTAACTTCAGCCCCATCCTCGTGAGGTTTGAATCAGAAGAGCTCTGCTGATTTCAGTGGGGTCATGCCAATTCATGCAGCTATGAATCAGACCCCTTATCTGCTTTAATTCAGCATCTTCATGTTTTTCCTGCAAGTGTAAAAAATTTGAGTCATTGCTCCTTACTGAAGCTGCTGTTTCATCTTCCTGTAATTCAATTTATGTTACAGAGTTGAAAGATTTTATTTTGGCTCATCTTTTCTGCTCCCATTTCCTCTGAAATGCAAACATTTCCTGTATTTAGCCTTGGTCTTTTGGAAGTGTTTTTGTATCTTAATGGAAACTGGCAAGATATTATTAATATTTTTCAAGTATTTATATTACTATTGTTTATCATGTCCCTTTTTGGGTAGACAGGAGATGTTTGTTTTGTTAGAAGACCATTTATGTATTTGGTTTGTGGAAGAATTCATTAGCAGTTACATAAGCTGTTATTGGAGATACAAAAACAACAGATCAGTCTTGGTCCTGAAGAAAGCTGTCCTTTTTTTGTGAAAATTCCCAATGCTTATATAGACTTTCTCCAGCTAGCTTGGAAAAGAAGCTTAGGCAATAGTTGACCTGGCTTGGCTAAAGTCATCGACAATGTAGGTGGTGGAGCCAGAGGGAGAGAGATGGGGGAATGGCTAAGATTTCCCAAATTAAATTCCTAAGTACTTATTCAGGCACCTCAGTAGAGAAGACTGATTTTCCGGAGTGCTCAGCGCTTTTTTCAGCAGAGAGAAGTGTGGAGCACGGTGCTGATAAAGGTAGTACTGATCCTAGTGAAAGAGAGATTGATGTTCCTAATGGAAGGACACATTCTGTGTTCCTAAGGAAACATTGGGCAATTGAGAAGGAAGTTAAAGAGGTGGTGGACCTGCATGTTGGGTCGGCTTGTATGTGCAAGCCCTGGCAGAGAGAAGATCAAGTACATTCTAGTTTTGGAGAGGAATTTGGTTTTCTCTTGGGCTTGATTGCGTGGGGACCTATCATGCTCTGTCGGTGAATACAAGATGGCTCTTTTCATATGATTCGCTGCTAAGTATGGGCAAAGATAACTTCTTACCTGTTGTTTTAGATCAGTCAGCATCCTTTGAATAAGTTGCTTTTTGATTCAGCTGTATGGAGATCTGTTTTTAACAGTTCTTGCTGCTTACAGATGGAGCATTCACATTAGCAGCTTTTACCTTGCTATTGGCACTGATACCTGTTTTCTAAGTACTATTCTCTGGGTTGCCTCTGGAGAAGGTGCCGTGAATCTCATTGCCTTCATGCGAGTTTCTGAAAGCTTCTTTTCAGATGCATCTCTGGCTCCACGGGCATGTGGAAGACAAAGAGACAGTTTAGGCTGTGTTTAACTATGTGATAAATTGTGCAACAGTGTGGACTTCAGGTTCATTGATCTTCAAGATGAATATAAATAAATTTTAAAACTTTACACATGTTCCAACACTTGCTATTTAGCAAATAGCAGCTTTGCAGTTAAATGGTTCCTCCTCTCTGTGCCAAGACATCCTATTTTGGTCTTCTGTCTATACCCCAAAAATATAAAGGATTTCTTTGTTTTAAAGAGTGTACAAGCCACAGTGAGTCCTGGCTCCTTGACAGTTTAAGGCAGAAGCAGCATTGCATCAGCAATGAAAAGGAGATTCCACTTTCCTGAGACAGATATGCCTGCTACTTGATATTGGGTGAAATATATTTATCAGTTCTTATACCGGGAAAGCTCATTTTAAATTCTTTGCTGAGGTTCTTCCCACTAAGAACCATGAACACTTGTACTCACCAAAGCTAAGGCCTTTGACTTAGTTTCAGGGAAGAGCAGAATATTCTTCACACAGAAGAATTAAAGAATTTGGCCAAAATAGCTGCTATACAAAACAGATCTCATGTTATATCTGGGTAAAAAATAAATGCTTGTCAATGTGTTTATTCATGCTAAGCTCACACTCTCTAGTATTCTCATATATCATTTCAGAGCTGTGAAATCATACATTATAGGCCTAAAATACTAAAGATAACAAAATAAATCCGCTTTGAGTATAGGATTTGTAGTATTTCTATGCCCGTTATGCAGAAAAAAATACTTTGACATAAGTTTTCAGCTCTTGTAAATCATTATCAGTTCACTCAATCAGAGGAAAATTACATCGTTAATTCACAGTGGCATTGTAGGCTCTTAATCTACCTATAAACTTTTTAATAGTCTGGTTTAGTATACGATTTTATACATTAATCTCTTGCTTCAAACAGAGAAAGCCTTCTGTACACTGAAGGCGTTTATAACGTCTATGCTTCTTCCATTCTTGCAGTGGCTGGTTTTAGATGTGAAATAAGACCACATTAACCAAAGGATGTCAAGTTATTAGTCCCTGGCCATTTATCCTGCCACATCTGTAAAATGGTAATTATTGATGCTTAGGCAATGTCTAAAGAATGGTCAAGTAAGTCTGACAGTATTGCACTATACTGATGATCTGTTTTTCCTTTTTCAGACAGTCAAGCCTGTCCTGTTATTCTCTGGGATTCCTCACTGAGCCCAACAGATAATAGTACCCATTCTTCAGTGAGATTAACCTGGGGGCAATATCAGCAGCTATTGAAGCAGAAATGCTGGCAGAATGGTAAAGTTCCCAAAGCTGAGTGGGGGTGTACTGAAATCCATCATCATGAGTGGTCCAAGATGGCACTCTTTGATTTTCTTCTGCAGGTAAAACATTTACTGAATGCAACTTTCTGCCTCAGCAGTCATGTGAGCACACATGGGACTCCTAGAAAAGTCATTTTAGTTTATTTCCTTTTTTTAAATGGGAAAGAGATGTATTTGCACAGTTTGAACGTGTTTCTGGTTGTTTCTTATGATTAAAATATCCAAAATGCAACTTATAATCGGGGAAAGAGATCAGGAACTTAACTGACTCATTTTCTAAAAGAGGAAGCAAAGGCTTTTGTCTTGAGACATCTTGATTTACTTCACCTTGAGGCAGGCATACTGTTTCTCCTTGACACCTTGTTTCTCCAAACATAGTTCTTGACTATGTTTACAACTGTAAATCACTGTTTTTTACTGTGTGGTCCTTCCTGCACCTCCCCCGCCCCCAGGGATGATTTAAGTGGTTTCGGTCAGCTGAAATCTGGATCAAGGTAACACTTGTAGTGGCTAATTTTCCTTCTTTTTAAAAACCTAGCCAGTGACTTAGTGAAGAAAGAATAGAGCAGCAACTGATGAATGATATGGCTGCTGTTCTTTAATTAGGTATTGCACATAATCATTAGCTCTCCAAATAACACCAAACTAGGACTCTGCCCAGTGGTATCATAATGTGTGGCTACAGTTACAGCAATTATGCAGTCAAATATTAATACACTCCCTGTATTAGTAAGGGCTGAACTGAACCACCTGGCTGGAAGCTAATTTTATGGCTTCCTGAGATTGCACTACTTCCAATTGTTCTTGCCTGCCAGACAGGTCCGGGTGACTGAGCATCCTGCAGCACTTACTGGTTGATGTAACACTATTTGTGTTTAAAACTGCAGCAAGCACTGGTTTTATGCACTGTGTTTGGTTGTTCATATAATTCAGCTTTTTATAGAGTTACATTTCTTGAAATATAAAAATCATGACTTGACTTACACATAGCCTATCCCTGTCCTCCTCAGTCCTGTTCCAGGATGAATGGATATTTCCAATTTTTTGGGGGTTACATTTTTGTAGACTTGTTATGTTAAACAGAGCATTCAATTCTTCTTTAAAAATAGATTGCTACTTGTCTAATGACTCCATCTTTAGTCCCACTGTGAGCAAGTAATTCATAGAAACTGGTATAAAGCCATATGTGGATTATTCTGATGCTAAACATAGTAATGCCCCTATAGGAATAGTACAGAATATGTCATAGAGTTAATATGTTTCCATGCCATTGTCTTCTTGTTGAACAGTTTAAAAATTCTCATGAGTTCTGTGTTGATTTCTAATTTTAAGGTCTTCTAAGTCAAGTTTTTAAACTTCATAATAGAACTCCTATTATCCAGAAGGAGAGGTCAGTTAAAATAAGATACAACAGGATTGAACTGTACCAACAGGATTGAACTGTACATGAAATAAAGAAACAAATTACTCTCATAAGAGTAGCTGGTATCAGAGTGATTTATACCTCCAGTTGTCTACCAGACAAGAATGTGCATACCAGAAAGTGAGTGAAAGTTGGTCTTACGGTTCTTAAAGATTAAAATTTTATCTGGGTGCTCTTAGACTAAACTTTAAAGTTTATCAGCAGTAGAACATGAAGCCTCTAAAACAAAATATGCCAAGAAGGGGTTCTGAGTTTAAAAAAAACAACAACTGTGCTTCATGAGTCGTTCAGAAATAAAGAATAATGAAAAATATTCTCCATTAAACATACTTGCCTCAGAAGAATGGGTTTGGTGCCTGTTGTTAGAATAGAATAGATGTTCCTAATCTCTGGTTTCAAATGCTATAAAACATAGAAGCAGGCTGAAAAATGCTTATAGTTGACCTTCACTTGGCTTCTGCAAGAACTCAAGTAAAATAAGGACATTAAATGTAAAATGGCTTCTTCAATTTTGGGGGTTTGGACCTCTCATGTACATAAATACATGACAAAACCCAATGCTAAACTATTAAGGTTGCAGCAGCAATTCCAGACTGTCCCATCATTCTGTCGTAACACTGAATGATGCAAGATATTATGAAGAGGCTGTCTGTAAGAACATGATCTCCTCGTCTATTTAATGCATGTAATGAAGTGCAGTGCAGGTGAATTAGCGCTGTATCGAAGGAGTCTGTCTGGAAGGCCTCTGCTTCATTTTTTGGCAAAGCCTTTGGATGAGTTGAATGAGAGATCCCATGAGCTAGAACGCTGCAAGAGGGGCTCTATTGCCTGCAGATGCTGAATGCTGCTCATGAAAAGAGAAAGAAGAGAAATCTATTCCTTTCCTCAGGATTTTCAGAGCTGAAAACAAACGCTGCCACCAAGACTGATGGCAGCAGTACTACCTACTTAAGAAAAAACAAAACAACTCTCAGACTTTCATTTGATGAACAAAAGTAGGAGGCCTTTTCAACATGCAACATAGTTCTACATCAGGAGAAGAGTCCTAGCAGTTCATTTCACTGGGGTGTCACAAAAATAAAATTTTAATTTTAGAAGGCTTATGTGAACATTAATGCTTTTGTGCTTAGAGCAGTTTGAAGGGTTAGCAGCATAAAACAAACAAGGACAGAAAAAATAATTTACCTGTGATAAGCTACTCATTAAGCCTTAGATGCAGCAAAGCAGACTTCCTCTCTGTAAGCATCTGTCAGCAGGAGCAGGCTGTTCCCTGGGGAGATGAGCTGGAGCCAAGAGCAACCCCGTGACAGGCAGGGCCAGCAGCAGGAGAGGCAGCCCAACAGGAAGGATGGTGAAAGCCGTGGGTCCCATTGATAGCCCAGTGAGCATCTGGCACAGACAAGGCAGCAAGCCAGCTCCAAGGCCAATGAGCAGGAACCCCAAGCAGCAATCCAGGAGCATTAGGTAGCAGGACAAGCAGCAGATACACACACACCACCCTGCTCCACCCCAGAAGGGCTCAGAGGAGGGCTGAGGTGCCAGGCCTGAGCTTAAATGGGGCTCCTGGGCCCACGGGCAGAGGGGGTGAGTGTGGAGGTCCCAGGTGTCGCTGCTTATGGCAATTAAGGCCTATTTGTGCACTCAGGGCCCTGGCAATGTTGTGTATTTACTCTCATCTAGTCAAAGGGGGTAGAAGCACTTTCAAGGAGTGATTTATCCTTCCTGTGTTAGATGGTTATCCTAAAATGGCATCCTTTGCTCTGGAGGTGTCTCATTCTTGTCATTGTTTATGAAAGGGAACATAAATGACTTAAGTCACTTAACATTTACACCACTAAAGTTAGACCAGATGTATTCCTTCCAGCTAAGTGCTGTGTGATGAATAAGCGAGGGTTTGCATGGGAAAAAATAGCCTAGACCATCATGTCATTAAAGTATATACCACAGTGCAACTCAGGGAGGCTGCTCTGTGATTATAAATGCACTCTTGTTGCATTTTGTAGCTTCTGATGGCTTGCTGTGCCCCTTAGTGATCTTTTCAATTATTTTGCATTCTATTAGTCTAATAGGTCCCACAAAATGGAGACCCTCTGTGTATCAGGCTGTGCTGTTTCTATTGTTCTCCAGCAGAGAAAATGTAAAAAACTTACAGCCTTCTGAAAAAAATGGAATTGTATTCACCATCTTGTTATTCCAGTTACACAGTGGTATTGTTCCATTATTTTCAAATAATTTCTACTGACATAACAAATCATGGCTATAAAATGTATAAAATACACAGTCTGGGAAATTGCTTCTAACAGGACGTGAAGTATGGGGACCAGGTCTTCAACGCCATTTCAACTGCTAACTTTAACTATACTTGTCCTGAGTTGCTTTCCTGTCAGCTGTGTTAGTGAGTGATGTCTTACAGTGACACTTTGCACCAAATACTTTGATATTGTGTTCGCTTGGCACTCTGCTGTACTTTGTTTTAGATCTATAATCGACTAGACAGAAACTGCTGTGGATTCAAACCTCTCAAGGAGGATACCTGCGTGCAGCAAGGACTGAAGCTGAAATGTAGCGATCAGGATGCTGTTGACCTCACACACATTGTTCAGAGAAGGCATGACCAAAGGCACTTGGCCTTTATAAACAATAAGGGTTTCTTTGACAGAAACGAGGACAATCTTGACTTCAAAATACTGCAGGGAATCAATGAGTAAGTTTTAAGTAAGTTATTAATTTTGTAAAAAGATTGATAATTTCTTCCCAGTTTGAGCATGAGACACTAAGTTACTGGAATAGATATCATTGGCCCCAGACATTTACAGGATGTGTCTAAAAATGTATGAGTAATCCCACTGCTGTAAAAGATACAATTAACATGCATATGGTTAGCCATGCATGGACTTCCTTTGCTGAGCCACAGTCTATATTCATAGAATTGATTGCTAAACCACAACATAAATACTGCAATTCAGAGTGATGGCAAAGCTGATGAATTTCTTTGTCCTTTTCCAGATTCCCTGAATCTGCAGTTTCCGTGCTGAGGAGCCAGCGTTTACGTGAGAAGTTGCTACAGTCTTTGTTCCTTGACAAAATATACTGGGAGAGCCAAGGAGGCAGAAAAGGAATTGAAAAGCTTATTGATGTAATAGAAAGGAGGTCCAAAATTCTTCTTACTTATATAAATGCACATGGAGCCAAAGTATTGCCCATGAATGAATGAAGCACTCTTGTTTCTATCTGAGAGATAGTCTTTAAAAAAATTTGTATGAGGCAAAAACTGACAGTAAAATTGATTTAATTCATAGGCTTATTTAATTTTTATTTTTTCCAAACTTTCGAGTTTATTTTTAAACAAGAAATCTTACATGGTTTAAAAGCAACATTTAACTGCAGCTGCAGCTCAACACAGTGCGGTCTCTTCTGTCACCAGTGAAATGGAATGAAAAATACCCAAATAGTACAATAAATAATGTAGTAATATGTAGGTACCATGAACACTCCTTCTGTTAAACTGTTTGAAAATTAGCAAGAGGATTTTCAGTATATTAGGCTGGATTACTCTTACTTCCCTCATTCAAGTCAGTAAAAGTTTTATTGCAAATTTAAGTGGGAACAGAGATTTGTAAGCACTTAGTACATTGATGAAAATTGTCATTGCATCTACCTGCTGAAACATATCTAGTACAGGAACTTGTCTTTTTGATTATGAATACTAAAATGCCAACATTTCCAAAGGCTTATTTTGGTTTATTTTATTTTGATCTTTTGAAATCTGAGGACTAAATTCAGCTCTTTTAAATGCAGGGGTGTTTGCACCGGACATGGGGGAAATTTAAAAAGAGTGAGGAGAACATGGCTTTAACAATAATAATTTGACAAATACAGTTTTTACCTGGGCAGTATGGAGTACAGTTCATCATGAGTCACTTGTTACAATGTACTATTTTCAGTACAGGTTGTTTTGATATGTGGGTGGATGATCTGATATTTTCTGTCTACTGATTAACTGGGTGTTACTCACAGAATCGTCCTTTATTACCACTATTTTTAAAAAAGAAGTTCAGCTTTAGGTTTGTGTGAATATGCTGCTAAATAAGTGTACACGTTTTGTTTTTGCAACATTCTTGACAATATTTTTTTAGAATATTATCAAAAAGCAGACCTACTAAGGACGTGAGTGTTGTTAAACTCAGCACAGAAAATGTTTGTGCTACATGCTCAGCTCTAGTCAGCAATTCAGGCTCTAGTTTTCCATTAAGATTGACCACTGTGGGGTGGTAATTTTAGCTGATGACTCGCCCCAAGTATTCCCACAGGTAAGGTTGTTAGAGAAGGTTGGATAAGCACTTTGGATTCTTAACCTTCTTCTGCTCCAGAAATAAAATAACTGATATAGTCTATCATGACATACACCTTCTTCCTATCTGTTTAGAAAGACTTTTATCGTCTTTCTAGAGAAATATCTCTTATCTTCTTGCCATGAGATAACGGCAGAAGTTGAACTTTCATAGTTACTCTTGTCTTTATATATAGTAAAAAAATATAGGGTGTGTAAGATTTTAAAATATTTTTGGAAGTGTTATGTAATGGTATTAATGAGAAACTAAAATGTTTCATGTCGATGTTAACTGGATGGGTGAATTTAATGTTTTAAATAACTACAATTCCACTGCAGATTTTCTTTTTTAGTATCAGAACAGCTATTAACAATAATTGCTTTACTAGAAGAAATAGATCTCGTTATAGGCAGAGTTAAAGATACTTAGTAAAATTTTAAGAGCTTGGCCATCTAAATAATCTTTTATTTTATTCTGTCAGCAAAGGGCAGATAAATTTGTAAAAACTTCCTAGAACTTAACTATTGCCTTGAGAGGACACGTTTTAGAGTGCCTTGGGCTTTTTAATAGCACCAAAGTAGAATTTTATAAGATTTTCATATTATCCTTTTCTTAAAATGTTGTAACTTACTAGCCAGGTAATTTCTATCACAGAAACAAAAATATTACTGTAGCTTGCACTGTGAACAGAGCCTAGAGAAAGAACTAATCCTCTGGATCCATTTCACATGGAATTCCTGTTGCAGTAAATTTCACTCTTTGGTGACCGTCACAATCAATTTGTCTCATTTTCTAGTCTATCTCACAGTTTTCTTCCTGCTAGATACCTGTTCAAATGGATTATCACACACTGCTGGGAGTGAGAGAAAGGCACGACTCTCAGCTGCACTGAACTTAGAAGAGGGCCAAAGTCGAGATACAAGAGTGTACCACATCATGAAAAAAAGTCCCATGAGAACTCTGTCTTCTAGATTCTCCTCTTCTATCTTTAGACTGCACATCCTGATGCCAAGTCATTGCCTCACATTGCCCAGTTGTTGTTTTTTCCAGAATCGACTCATTGTCCAAGAAGAGAAAGAAATCAGAAGTCAGGATTTTTTATCTTTTCAGGTTAGGTCATTTATTTTTATGGTGATAACTCGATGCCGCCTTCTCCTGTTCTTCTGGACATGGACGCTAGTGTTTCCGTGAGCACGATACGTGCTCTTTTATTTGCCTGGCAGTTCACTGCCAGCTCTTAAAGCAGCAATGTAATTGCCAACTAGTGAGTAATTGCCCTGAAGCTGACCTGGAGCAATGCCTCTCAGTAGTCCTGAGCTTAAGAGGTCCAAGTAGCCATGATGCTGTGCAGTACTTAAAAATTTGACCAAGCGTGAAAAGCATAACTGTAAAGAGCAGATCTTCTGTAGACAAATCCTGCAAAAGAATGTCCTTAGGAAATGAATGGTGTTTTTTACTAGATATTTTTGGTGGCAGAGGCGTACAGATCAAGTTGTCATTAGAGCTAATCTGCAGGGCGAAACTGTGTTTAAACTTGCGGAGAAAATACAAGGGGAAGGATAGGTGTATCTCCCTGTGCTGTCCAGTATGGACCAGACAGGCACATAAAGGCACTGTCTTCTCAGAACTGCTGCAGGGACCAGTGAGTCCAGAGCTGTACCATTACTGCACACATTACACTTTCCAAGGGCGAAGGAATACTTCTTTCTCTGAAACTCTGAATTTGGGTCTAGGACAAGGCGTTCTGCATCCTGCTTTCACCTTACAACGGTGCCTTAGCATTGCACTATGCGTAGCTGGAGGCCTTGCTTTCTATCCTGTGTTAACATGCCATATTTCTTATGCATACAAACACTCTCATAGTCTTCAGGGAAGTCAAGAGAGGCTTTGTGAGACTGTGCAGTGAGACTGGACTGTAAATTGCTTCGAATTCTCTAATGTTGATAACAAACTCCGGAAAGTGCCTTTTCTCCATAATGTTTATCCTGTTGCTGTAGAGCTTGGTACTTGAATCCAGTATTGTTAATAATACAAAGTATGATTGTGATAGTGCTTATGAGTACATACTAGCCAAGTTCTAGGTTTTTTTACAAAAGTGAAGAATTCTGTGTTTGTTGAGTGCTCCAGCAAAAAATACGAAAGAAGCACTTTGCAGAGCTTGTTTATTCACTGCTACTACATTCAAGATATCTGCTCTCCCTTACATTTAAGATATCTGCTCTCCCTTCAGTAATAGGAGTAAAGTTTATTGGGAAATCAGTCCACTTCCTTTTAAAACAGCATGACGTTGGACTGATATTCCTGCACTGTAGCCTAAGTAAAACTAACCGATAGGAAAAAACCCAAGGAAGCCTTACTCTACCTATGGTGGTGATCGACAGAAAGCCAAGAAACTGTGTTTTAGTCATCTTTGCTGGGCTGTCTTCCATATATGGGCATATAGGATCAGACAAAGACTCATGTTGCACATTACTAGGAAGGGTGTAACCGACGACAACAGTCCAAAACCTGTGGGTGGGAAAAGACGATTATGTCATTCTTGAATCTGCCTGAAAGCCAGAACCACATGAAATGGAATTACTAAGAAAGTCAAGAGAGTTTGCTTATTTCATAACATTGGAAGACAGAGCTTAAAATAAGTAGCACAGGCACAGATGCCTTAAAATTCCTTGGGAGCCTGCCAGCAAGTTAATAATCTTAAATATTTCAGAAGCTGAGGACATGAAAACTTTTGTGGAGCGCTGTGAGAGCAGTTTCATTCTTTTTTTGTATGTGTATTCTATAACGCACTATACTAAAGAAAGATAAATTCCATGGTTTCAAAAGAGCAAATGCAGATTTAGGGTACATTAAGGGACAAGCTTCCAGTGCCAATTCTGGGAACACTTTCATGCATGTGTGTGTATGCGAACACAAACATACATGTATATCTATATATACCTTGGTTTGTTTCTATAAAATGGTCAGTTGGGCTAATAAAGACTGAGTTGTTTATCTAATTTGCTGTTTACATGTAGAATTGTATTTGTGAGTATAAGTCCAATTTTGAGTATACACAAGTTGAAGTTTAAACAAAACATTATTGTGGATGAAACTTTTGTTCTCAAAGGATTAATTCTCCTCTTGCAACAAATTCATATAATCTTAAAAGTTTTCTACTTACAGTTGTAGAGAAAAACAGCAATATGTTTGTATCTGAGCTAAACTGCCAGACAACAGTGTGATATCAAATCAGATGTTTTTATTGAGTTTTATATTAGATATTGAATTTCCATTTTCTTTTGGAATTTGTGCATTTAAAAAGTAAATTTATTTGTCCTTTTATTAATAACAGTAAAAGCATTATGAATTGTTTGAATCTCTGCTGCTGTTGTCATGTAATGTCCAGGAATATACAAAATAAAATGATGTCTTCATCAGATTTTTAGTTCAGATCTCTAAGTTGCAATAACAAAACTGTAATGCATATTAATGTAATATGTGGATCATTAGATACTGTTTAGAAAGAACTGTGGCCTTCAAACTGCTTCTTCAGAGAAACAATCCAAACCAGATTATGAAGTTCTTCCTGTGGAAATATTTTCTAGCTGTTTACTCATGACACTTGTAACTCTTTCTTACAAAGCTGATCCACTGTAGCTGTGGAGCTTCTGGTTACTGCAGCATTAGTATTTACTGCCGCCTTTACCCATTCTGACAATGCCTACTTACACAAACATCGAGCAGAAAAGGACGTGCCCATTCATGAGCCAGAAATATTGGTCAATGACTGGTAAACTTTCTAATAGACCGTGAGCAAGTACAGCGATAGGAGAAAGACACTGAACTCTACGTGGGATAGAGACTCACAGAGAGTTAAAGTAGCCTAAGAACTTCTGGTCTCTGAAGTTTACATTTTTTCCACGATCCAAGAGAGACTAATGGGAAACACAAAGATGTTGAAATATTTTTAAACATTCTCTTTCCCACACAAAGTAATTTGATTTGTTTTATTAAAAACATTATTTATTTTTGCACATTACTGAATACTTC